AGAGGACCAGAGAGTGTTATATATTGTATTATATATTGAAAAGTATGTATGAAAATGTTGATTGTATTATATTTTCATTTTTAATGAGTTGAAATATTCTTACTTGAGCAAAGACAATAATTATTCAGTGATATTTTCATTATGGCATATTACGATGATTCAAACTGAGATGGATATCATTTTAATACAATATAGTTCCTAATTTTGTAATCAAGCCGTGTTTATATTATTATATGTAACATCCTTCAGCAAAGCCCAGTGCTTAGATAATTTTAAAAGTATTCAACCAAATATTAATTAGTGCTTTGATGTGCTGTCATCTTGTTAGTGGCACAGTGCTGTTAATTAGATAAACTATGGCTATTGAGTGAAATTTTATGTTTCGAATAACATTTTGAATAGTTCAGTAAACCTCAAGTAACCGGGGGGCTTCGGGAATGGAATGTTTTTACTTTAGTTCAGTTTTGTTGTTAAGTAAGGGTTCGTTTGGAATTTATAAAATATGCCAAAATGTATTAGTATTTTTTTATGAATTAAATTCAATTTTCATTTGATTTAGTATCTCTCAGTATATGTCAGGGTCATTGTATAGATGGAAAAACTAATTTTCTGACTGCTCCATTTTGGTCTTCCTAATCTACTTCTGTATCCTCCCCCTGAGTGATCAAATGTGTTCTGTTATCTATATAATGTTGATTTAGAATTAATATTTCCGGCCCAGATTTCTCTTTCTTTCTGAGTTCCAGATCCATCTCAAAATGCCTGCTAGATTCTCTTCACATGGGTATTCCAAAGGTATTTCAAACTCCAAAACAATATGATTTAATTAAGTCCATCTCACTCCCCAAACCTGTTCTTGCTCAGTGCACCACCACCTACGGCAAAGAGCAGGGAATCTTTCTTGAATCTTTTCTCTCACAGATCCCTCACCTACCAGGATCCACCAGTTGTAATGAGTATACTATCAAAATGTCTTTTGAATCCCTCCCCCTCTACCCTACTTCCAGTCTTTGGCTCTGTTTGGAATCATTTTGTCTTTCCTGGATTATTGCAAGAGACTTTTAACAGGTGTTCATCTAGTCAGGTAAGACCTGTAGGCTCCACTGGAAGCCAGAATGCAAATCTGATCCGTTTACTCCCACTCTCAAAACCCTTTTGAGCCCTCAGGCTAGCAGGCTCTCCTTTCTCATCAGCAGTGGTTCTTCCAGTACCCTTCCTCTACTTCTGTATTTCAGTCAAGCAAGGGTTCCTTGATTACCAGAGCTCCCCTTATATTCAGATTTTGTACATTCTATTCCTTTGCATCTCTGCTTTGCTAAGTTAGCTTCTCTTCTTCCTTTTAGTATCTTCTTAGATGTCACTTTCTCAACTTGTGTCTGCACTGAAGCACCTTAACCAGGATTCGGTGTGTAACCGGAGATCTCTTTCACATACCTGAAATGTTTGATGACTGCCTCAGTAGAAGCCCCTGCATTTTATTGTCTCTTATATACTTAGAATTCCTGTACTTGGTGCTTTCTTTTCCCAAACCTGTTCTCCTACCCTCTCAGATTTTCCATTGTGATCTCAGGAGCACACATCCCTAGTAAACAGACTTATCTAAATCCTTAACCCATTATTGTCTTTACTACATTCTGTGAAATAAATTAAGTGTTCCCAGAAAAAGAATTTTATGGTCAAAAGAGTCAGGAAACCCTGAATTAATAGTTTCCCCATCACAGTGTATATTGTGAATCTCTAGGGTGGGGATGGTGAGTGGATATAGTGTGGATCAGTTTACACATCTCACATGGTGTTAACATCTTCACAGGTCAGTGCTTCCACTAACTAGTTTTAAAGGAAATTTGGCTTTGAAACAAAAAACAACAAACAAAAACTGAAACTCTTTGAGTGGAAGCTGCTCCTTCCTCCACCCTACAAATTTTAGGGTATGAAGATTGCTGGTAGCCCCCACTTCCCCAGAGCAAATTTTAGGTCACTGCTCTAGCCTCATGTAAATATCCCTGCTCCTTTGGGGATCCTTCGAAGATCTTTTGAGGAATTTTATATCCTATGAAATTCAGCTCTACCAGATACAGTGAGCTAGGTTTTTTTTTTTTTCCTCACATATTCACTGGTAGTGTCACATATCCCTATTCACTCGTAGTGGCTGCTTTTAGCACCATCTTGAGAAGGAATCCAAGGCTGTGTTTTGGCTCATCAGGATCACTTGTATTAGTTTATTAGTGATTATTCTTGATGGATTTAGCATTATACACCATGTATCGCTTATCATCTCTGGGCTCTCCCATCTTCTACCATTTGTCCCTTGTCATTTACAAATCTCTCATTTGATCTTCCATCTTCTTTAAAGAGCTCTCCACCCCCACCAACTCTCCAGATAATTCTAAGTGACTTCAGCATCCATGTGGAAAACGGCAAACATAAGCCTCATATTTTTCTAAACGTCCTGAGCTCCAGTGACCTTTATCTGTAAGTTACTTTATATACTTGCTGAGACCTCCTGAATTCTAAAGTCTCAATGTCTTCTGGTCTTCCTTTTCCCTGCTTTCGCTATGGTTGTTCTTAGCCCTTTTTGGTACCTAATATTCTTTGATACTACCATGTTTTCCGAGCCCCTTCAACCTTCTCTTGGTATCTCTGCTTTCCTACCTAATCTGGAACTCTGAGCTATTCTCACTAGCATATTTTATTTCTTCTTCTACCTTTATCCTTCCACTGAATCAACCCAGCAAAACCTCAGCTTTACATGTGTGCTCAGCGCAGCTCCCTCTTGGTTCCTGGGGAGCTGAGTATTGCTAACGGTAATCATAACAACCTTCCAGTCCAAACTCTTGCATGGCACATAAGTCTCCCTTCAAAAAGTTTATTACTCTTCAATCTTGTGCCTTTGAAACCGTACCTCAGGCATTCTGCTCCAATAGAGGGCAGACAAGTTTAACTTGCATGTGACTAAACTATATCTGCCTACACTTCCTGCACTATGTTTGAGATCAGACTTGGAGTTCTCTACACCCTAACTTGCCTTTGTTCATACCATCCTCCCTGCTTGGACCACTGTCCTAACCCTTGTGCTTTACCCACTGACAATCTGCACTACAAAAACTCTTATATACCTTAAAGATTCATCTTCACGCCCACCCCACATACCATCCTACTCTATCCCCTCTTGGTAAGGGACTTAATCATTTGTATATACTTTAAACAGAAGTCCTGTTTTCCAATGCTGTCAGGATTGAGAGTTGAACAATTAATCGAAAAAGTTGGTTAAAGCTAGAGTTAAAAAAAAATACATGCAGACATGAAACATTTTATTTCAACTTAGAACAGAAATACATTCGTCAATTGTCTCATGTATGACCAAGGGATTTTCTTTGAGTATGTGTACTTGAATGGAATTCATTGTTACTTCACGAATATACTGAACCCAGAATGCATCCTCTAGATTTCCAGATTGGGTTTAAAAGAAAGAACTCAAGCTATTTGTGTAGCAATCTGAGCGTGGAATCCTGGATTTGTATGGTTTTTTTTCCCCACCAATCTTTTCAGTTGCATTGTCCATACCTACTTCAGTAATTGTTTTTCTTATGGAGACTTACCTTTATAAAGTCTTTCCAAGGCATTAAATCATAGAAATAACAGTTGTTTTTCTTTTTTACTTGTATTTTATTTGTTTGGTTTATGTAGCATTTAATTAAAGCATGTATTTATAATATACAAATTTGTGAATATAAACTCAACTGATGGGAGCAGAGGAGCTCGTGATCAGCATGTTGTAGACATCAGTGTTTACTGAGGGAATGGATATTATGTCGGTTAACCTGGCAAGTTGGTTGAATGGAGGTTGGTTAAGAGAGTTTCTACTGTAATGATTTTTATTGCTTATCTCCCTTCATTACAATGTGAGCTCTTACAAGGCAAGGACTATATATATATATATTTTTCATTTTGTATGTCTAACCTTCACCTATGCACAGTACCTACTGTAGATATTCAGTATGTGTTTCTTGGTGAATGAACAAATTCTTCTATAGGTCATACTAAATTTGAATAATCAGAAAGAACACTGTACTGAGAATCAGCTAGTATAGACAGATCATTGGCCTGGTAGCCAAACTGGGGTTTGAATCCTTTCTCATTTGCATTGCTTGAGCAGATTACTTTCTTTTATTCATTTTGTGAATGGGGTTAACAGCAGTCTTTGGGTTGTGTGAGGATTAAACGGGGAGGTAAAGTGTTTAGCTTAGTGCTCGACATTGTAAGCAATCAGCAAGTGCTAATTTTCCTGATGATGCTTATCACCAATGAGGAGAATGTAGGAATTCACTTGGTCAAACTTTTCTCACCAAGGATCTTAAACTATATAATTTACCAGTTTCCTTTTAGCTCTAAAATTCTCTTTTTATAAACAATGGTTCATGGTTTGGACGGATTTATATAAGAAATATGTGGCTATTCCTTGATTTGTTACATTTGTAGATTCGATAAAGTAGGAAATTGCTTAGATGATCATAACCTTACAAAACAAAACTTTCGGGCTTTAGAACATCACTTGTTAGTGAGTTGAACTTCCTAATAAAGTGTGAAGAACAGTGCAGATCTACTAAGCACTGCCACACTATCTATGTAAGAGCAAAGTAAGGTAGAAAGTAGAGAAGGAAGCTCTGAGGAGATTGTTTGGAAGCATTAGCTTAGAAGAAGTGAGATGAAATTAAGCTCTTGAAACTAAATTTACGGACAGATTTAACTTTTTGAACCATAGATGTGTATTTGTTATAAATCTAGGTTTTAAGTTTTCATGTTGATCACATTTTCTTTCTGATTAAGAAATGGGGATGAGTGAGAAAGATGGAAACATAGCACTTTTTTGGAATGGCTGTGAGGATATTTTCCATTCTATGTCCCAAATTTTGGTTTGTTTAAAGAAGTAAGTGATTTAGCAGAATTCCTTTTAGCATTCATTCTACAGTTCATGCTTATACTTAGTTTTTATATTGCAGTTATCAATTAGTATGGAAGAAGATGAGTTCTTTGGAGAAAAAACATTCCAGCGTTTTTGTGCAGAATTCATTAAACATTCACGGCAGATAGGTGATGGCTGGGAATGGAGAACTTCGAAGGTAAGAACAGAAACTTTTATTTTCTATTTTAATGAAGTTTTTTTTGTTTTTTGGTTTTTTTTGGCTGTATAAAAACTCAGTAATTGAGGGGTGCCTGGGTGGCTCTGTTGGTTAAGCGGCTACCTTCGGCTCAGGTCATGATCCCAGGGTCCTGGGATCGAGCCCTGCATCGGGCTCCCTGCTCAGCAGAGAGCCTGCTTCTCCCTCTCCCTCGGCCTGCTGCTCTGCCTACTTGTGCTCTCTCTCCATCTCTGTTAAATAAATAAATAAAAATCTTTTAAAAAAAACCTCAGTAATTGAAACTAATGTTTGAAAGCTAGCTTGATTTAGTAAAAGGCTTAAATTGAAGAATGTTTTAAAAAAGATGTCCATTTTATTGTTTCAACTATATATACTCATTATAATTAGGCTAATGAAGTATTATCTAGAAAAGTCCTTAGGTGACCTGCTTTAATTTAATAGATAAGAATGCTTAGCATATTAATTATCTGAATGTAAACAGATGCTTCTGTGGTGCTTCAAACCATTTATTTACACTATTAATTTTCTTAGGAAAGTACTTTTGTCCAGAGAGTGGAAAGATAATCCTGAAACCAAACCATAGTCAAACAATCACAAAGTCTGAAATACTGAAGAATGAATTAATTGGAAATTTCTTACTAATATAAACACATTCCAAGGCATTCTTTCTTTTGGTTCTATTCAGTAATAATAATGTAAAAGGTCTATGGACTCATCTACTTCCATACATACACTTAGTAAGGATTCTCTGCCAAAAGCTCTTTAAGAGTCCCTTGAGATAATTTTCTGAGAGGATAAATTTTCTCTACTTGATATCTTAATCTGATGCCTAAAAAAGTGGTGATTCCCTGTTTTCTGCTTATTGGCTCTATTTGCTATATGAACTCTGAGAAATGTGAATACTTTTGAGCTGATTCCTATGATTCAGAAGTAGGGCAGGGAAATGCGGGTTTTGATCCGATCCATGGTGTCACCGGAGAGAGAAGCCATGATTTCCCTTTGGGTCATGTGCCAGCTAAGCTTTCATGGGGCGGGAGTGGGGGGGTATCATGGGAGACTCCAGCCCCACTCTTTAAGTTAGTGATTGGACAGTTCATAAGCCCCTAAGGCATCTCCTGCTCCAGGATAACATGACTTTATTATTAGTACCTTTTATTAATCTTTTTCCTGAGTATTTTATAATTTTGTTTGCTATTGTCTTTGAGTTTTTATTCCTCTTTATTCATGTTTTATTGCCTTCATCCCGACTTTATTTATTTATTTATTTATTTATTTATTTATTTATTTATTTATAATCAGAGAGAGAGAGAGCACAAGCAGGGGGAGCAGCAGGCAGAGGCAGAAGCAGGCTCCCTGCTGAGCAAGGAGCCTGATGTGGGACTTGATCCCAGGATCTTAGGATCATGACCTGAGCTGAAAGCACCTGCTTAACTGGCTGAGCTACCCAGGCGTCCCCATCCCGACTTTAATATCAATGTTTCTGATATAAAATGATTTTTTTTAAATGTTGGCTGTTTATTCATTGAATGAATGTAGGTTTCTGATCCCTTTTGACCTGTAATAATTTGTATGGTTATTCCTGAGAAACTTTTCCTTTCCTTTCCACAAATTTTTTTTAAAAAGAAATTTTCTTTTGTCTTAAGCTGGAGGTAGAATAATAGATACTCTAGTTACTGTTTCAGTGACCTAGTAGAATGGGGGAGGAAAAGGTTAGGGAGGGAGATGGGACTGTGTGTGTGTGTGTGTGTATGTGTGTACGCGTGCGCATGCCTGTTGGGGATTGCTGGGGAGGGTCTCCAGGAGGGAGATTCATAATAATACAAATATCTGTTAGAAATTTCTTCACTGAATTTGTTGAAGCTAGTGTGCCAAGAACTAGTTTCCAGGATTTATTTTTATTCTTGTCCAGCCTCTGCTTCGGGGATGGGTATGGCTATGTTTGGCTTCTTGTTTGTTGCTACTGCCTGCTCAGTTAGGAAAGTTATCTACCCTTTGGAGTTGGAATTGCACCTCTAATTAAGGGTAGGTTTTTTTGTTTTTGTTTTTGTTTTTTAATGTGGAGATGAGCCCATAGATAGTACCAAAACAAACAAAACACTGTCTAGAGAAAATCTTTGTAACCTTAGGGCAAGGACCACAAACTCAAAAGCCTTGGAGTCCAGGCATGGTAACATAAATGGATCAAGCTGCCATGTACAAGACAATATGGACACTGAGTCCTAAGGCCTGTGCTGAGCAGAGTGCTTGTCCTCTTGCCAGGTTGGGAACATGGACCCAAGGGTTACCAGACCTTTCAAGAAAAGTAAAGATATTTCCCCCCAAAATATTGGGGGCGGGGAGAAATCTCTACATTTTCAAATATTGGCAACTACTTAAAAAACATTTTTCAGAAACAGTCATGACCAAACCCAACATGCTAGTGATGAATAAAATGTGGGATATGGTGGCCAATTGATGATTTCTGGGATTGGGCATCTGTGTGGTATAACTGTGATTTCTTACCCAGCCCTGCTTCAGTGCATGCTGTTGATCTGAATTAGTAAAGGGGGCACTTGGCAAAGCAGATACCTCTCTTGTGAATTTTGGTAGGTTTGTATTTTTGCCACTTAATTTCTGCAGTGCTGGACCACTTTTATGAAGGAAATTACAAATCAGTCACTTGGTTATTTCCTTCAAACCTTCAGTCTTTATCTCATTCTTTTTGTTGGACTGTTTGGAGAGAATACTTATACTATTGTTTTACTTTATAGGCTCCAGAAATTTATTTTTATTTTATTAAAAAAGTAGTTTTTGAGGTATAATTGGGAAACAACAAGCTATGCATAGGTGAGACCTATGAACCCTCACTATAGTCAAGAGGGTGATCATATCCATTACCCCCAAAAGGTTGCTTTTATACCTTTGTAATGCCTCCCTCTGCCCCTGAAAGTTATTTATTATATTTTTTCCTGGAAGCTATTTTTAAAAAGAATCTTGTTTATCCCTATATAGAGAGCCTCCTTTAAAGCGTACACATTTGTCACTCATACCTTCAGGTTTGTTTATAAATACCCCTCAGGAAGGTGGTATACTCTTGTTGAGAGCCATTGTTTAACGTAATGGTCTGTTAGATATTAAAGATATTCGTTAAGAGCATGGAGTTCAGAGTTAGACATGGCTATAAATCCTTACTCTACCATTTACGAGCTGGATTTTGGACAAGTAACTTAAGGTCTCTAAACTTCATTTTTTTTACTTATAAAATAGGAATAAAAATAATAGCCACCATACAGCATGGTAGTTGTGTAGATTAAATAGGATTTACATTCAAAGAGTTTAGCACAGTTTCTGGCACATGCAAAGCCATATTATGGTTATGATTTTTAGCTGGTTGTTTGAAATTTTCAGTATCTTTTATTTTAGAAATAATGCTATCAATGAAATTGTAGTTAAGTTTTCAGAAAACTCTGTGAAAATCTATTTACCACCAAATATACTGTGCTGGTCTTTAGTGTATTATACTGAGTCCTCCAGGATAAGAAGAAGAGCAAAAGATGGCAAACAACAATGAATGCATGCAATGAAAACTTTTTTTTTTTTTTAGATTTTAATTACTTACTTGAGAGAAAGCAAGTGAGAGTGCATGTGCACATGAGGGGGGAGTGGCAGGGAGGGACAGAGGGAGAGGGAGAAGCAGACTTCCTGCTGAGCAGGGCACCTGACATGGGGCTTGATCTCAGGACCCTGAGATCAGGACCCGAGCTGAGGGCAGCCGCTTAACTGACTGAGTCATCCATTTCAGCCACCTCTGAAATACAAATATCTTAAAAACCCATCAGTTCATAATGTTAGAAAGAGAGATAGAGAATGAACAAACACAGGAGAGAGTGGAATAGAAGAATCTCCAAACCTAACTCATTGAATATTTTTGGTTTGAAAATTGTTAATCAAAAGGAAAGAAATAAGCATTTATCTTACCGTTCCTGTATTATCTGTATTTCATGGTAACTAAATAGACTAATTTGATAAGGGAACTGTTTTCCCCCAGAATTCCATCTGATAAGTGTAGAAAGGATGGTAGAATTAGAAAATCATTACTTTTCGGGGCACCTGGGTGGCTCAGTCGTTAAGCGTCTGCCTTCGGCTCAGGTCATGATCCCAGGGTCCTGAGATTGAGCCCCACATCGGGCTCCGTGCTCTGCAGGAAGCCTGCTTCTCCCTCTCTCACTCCCACTGCTTGTGTTCCCTCTCTCACTGTGTCTCTCTCTATCAAATAAATAAATAAAATCTTAAAAAAAAAAAAAAAGAAAATCATTACTTTTCAATGCCTAATGAAATGAATTAGGTGACAATAATCAGTGGATGAAATTATTAGGTGAAAGGTTGATGGGGAATTTACAAAGGAGGGATTGAACTATCATCACCTGAACCCTAGTGATTAATCACGGCATTACTAAAAATAGTACATTCAGATACTATATATTTGGTGAAGTTTTATAATATGAATCGCAGAGTGCAATCCATGAAATATTCTTGCCCAAAATGTTGTGGCTGAATAGAATCAATTAAGGAAGTCAAGTGATAGAGAACCAAGTTAATTGACACCACAGGAAACAAATAGAGAAATCCAGAAATCTAAAGGACAACTGACTCAATTTCCTTAAAAAGTTAATGGTTGGGTAAAGAAGTGAGGAGAGGATTGCATCTCTATCTGGTATTGAAGACCAAGCTTGTTTTGTTTTTATTATTTATTTATTTATTTATTTATTTATTTATTTTTTAAAGATTTCATTTATTTATTTGAGACAGGGAGAATGAGAGAGAGAGAGCACATGAGAGGGGGGAGGGTCAGAGGGAGAAGCAGGCTCCCTGCCGAGCAGGGAGCCCGATGCGGGACTCGATCCCGGGACTCCAGGATCATGACCTGAGCCGAAAGCAGTCGCTTAACCAACTGAGCCACCCAGGCGCCCCTTGTTTTGTTTTTAAAGTATCCTCTGAGA